GGCTCCCTGCCTGAGGCGAGGGGCGACGCCCGCGCCCCGCGTGGCGTGGGCCGCCCCGAGGGAAGCCGGGCATCTCTCCGCCCGGGTGGGGGGGAGAAGGGTTTCGGCTCCTCTGTCTCGCGGCCCCAGGGGCCGGGCGCCGCTTTGGAGGGCGTGAGTCTCCGCGGTCGTTGCTGTCGTGACCATTACACCGTGCTCGTCGGTCTTATGTCACTGCTGTAGCTTACACGTGCTCGGAGCCGCACGGGGCGTCGCCGGGGCGTCCCTAAAGCCATCGAAAGGCGGCTGCCTGCAGGTGCACGGCTGCTCAGCAGCCTACCCCTGGGGAGGCAGACTAGGTGGGCTCCTGTGTTGTGGCACCAGTGGCGCTAGTTCAAACGCTGGACTTGGGTTCGTACTTCTCCCTTCCCCCTCCACCTTTTTTTTTTTTTTCTTAATGAAGTAAGCTTTTTGCAGTTATGCTAGTTTTCTCTCCAAACAGAAGCAGTAGGCATCAATTCTAGATATCCGTTCTGCTGCAGACCCTTCTGAATTTTCAGATAAATTTGCTCATTTAACATTGACCATCTAAAAGAATGTCAGCCCCTGTGAAATGGGGAGTAAGTAATATGATTACTTTTTTTTTAAGTCTTTTGAAGGATTTAGCCTTGAAAACATAGATACGCTGTTGGCAGATGATTTTATCTAATTTTTTTTTTTATAAACAGCTAAGTATGCTTATGTTCGTGGTTGCTGGTGGTTTTTCTTTCGCTACCGTTACTGTTAAATACAATAAGTGGATGGGAACCAATTTGTTTAGTATCCAATAAGTCTGGCAACTCTTCTATTTCCCAAGTAATTAACACAATCACTTGTTGATACCAAATGTTGCTAGGACTGGATGTTATGAAGAAGAGTATTAAAGCTGGAAGGGAGCTCAGAGGTGATGCAGTCCAATCGCAGGCCACCGTGATCAGTAAAAATGGATTCCTGAAAGCTACTACTTTGGGGTTTTTTTCTCTTCTAGCTTCTGAGAGAACTTTCTGAATTTTACATGGTTGCTTTGATGTCAGAGCCTGTATAGCAGGCTGAAATAATGGAAACAGGTACAGTCTGCCAAAATTCAGGCTCTGGCTTAGTCCAAACATTAAGGTTGGATTGAAGGACTCTAGAAGTATTTTCCTTGTATGGCTTGTGCTCTTCTCTGAGACAGCAGAGTAGCTGATGGGTCCCCCATAGTAACTGATAGACCCCAACTTTAATCTTCCCTCCCAACATCTGCATATCGATCTCTTCTTTTATTTTTTTTAAAGTTGGGGGGGATTTCTTTGTGAAACAGGATTGCTCTTGTGTTCGGTTACAGCTTCCCAAATTCTAACGTATGAATGCGAGCAGAAATTACTTACAGTCATTCCTTATGATAATTCCTTAAAGCCATTGTGGAAAACATGATGTGTCCCCAGTGTTTTCTTGATGGTGGTCAGGCTGCTATCTTTGAAATAAAATATAAAAATAAGTTCCAAAACCTCATTCTCAAAAGTTGTAGGTATCTTGAACCTCTGTTAGGTTTCAACCCCCGCTGCCCTTGGCTGTTCCAAACTCTAGAGGTATTTCAGGTGCTCGGAGCAAACAATAAAATGTATTCTGTTACTAGAGATGGGTTTCTATTGTGTTAATTTCATGGAACCATATATACTCACAGCTAGTGTAGAGAGTGAGTATTCTTATCGTGAAGCGTGTGTGTTTGTACACAGTGTAGAGTTAAACTTGCAAGACAAAGTGCTTAGGTTATTTTCCTTATATCCTGTTCACTGTAAACTTTACAAGCTTATTACTATTTCAGTTGCTGTTGGAACATAGATAACTTCACTGGGCATGATTCATGGAAAGGTCATAGCTGATAAGTGCAGCTTTGTTGCTTTGACATCCTGTTACGTGATAGTACTAGGTATCTGGAAATACTTTAAAAATTATTAAGTGGTGCAGGATTAGTTTTGTGGGTTTTTTAATTCCTTCAGGTCTGGTTTAACCCTGGATTTGTGCGTAGTCACGCCTCTCCCACGTGTGTCTTACACCCTACTCTGAGCTGCCATAGTCTACTATGACTTTCTGCTGCAAAC